CTTTTCAACGAATTGGGTATAGAGAAACCCCGTAAACAATCGTTATCAGGAGGTGTTGACTATTCTTCCGAGTTATATCACTATTGTGAGAGCGATGCAACAATTTCAGAACTGCAATCCTCCAGTGTGATACAGCAACATGAAGGATGAATGAATATTATGTTGAAAAAACCGTGTGGTGAAATGCGAAACAATCGAGTTTGCGTGTGTATGTATACATTTTCCACTAACTGACGGCACTGTCAAATCAACGCATTTCATCCAATTTTAAAATTTAATGAAATCGCACTGAAACATTTCCCCAAAAACTCCTTCGAAGATTGAAAAGAACTACACTTCACCTTCCAAAAGCCAGATTTTCAGTGGATAATTTTGTTTAGCACATAGTTAAATAACGGGTTACTCTTGATCTATTTTTAATCAAATTAGATGAAGGTCGGATAAATTCAATTAGTTTGTGTATACAAAACAATCAACAATTACTCAAATTGCTGTCAACATATGTTTTGATGTTGTTTTACAAGATTTGGTACATTTCATCGTGGCGCGACGTTCCGAGATTCGTCTAAAAAATTTTGAGCTTCTAAAGCGGCATTTGGTGGAACTCAGTTATTATCGATTTCCTCGAAAATAAATTGATATTCAGCCAAACGAAGTATGCAGTTCTTTCTTTCACTGTAAGGCCAACCCAACTTGAGAATATGAGCCGAATCGATTTTTTGGCTGTTGCCACGATATTTCGAAAGTGTGCGACTCTTGGCCACATCTGCTCTTAATACCTTATCAAAAGCATTATTTCTAGAATTTTAACTGTCGAACAAACAAGTAAATTTTATGTTGCTATGCGTCTGTTCAATGATGATATACGGGGCGTAACGGAGTGTCTGTAATGTTCTAAGCCCATTTTTCAGTGAGCAATTTCAGAATAGACCCACGGAAATATGGAATCCATTTGTTTTTGTAATAAAAATAGAAATATTGTCAATGGTGACTTTGTCTATGGATATTTTCTTCTCTAGATCATACCAAGAATCAATTCAATTAGATTCAAACTTACTATACATATACAAAAGGAAAATTGCAGTCATTAAAGTGGTTCAAAATATGGATGGCTGTAGACTTCAAGCTAAAGGTCAAACTTCTTTTTACACCTTCCTTAGAATATAAAAAATTGGAAAAAAACGTCAGCTGGAACTCTTTCAGCTACATAAATTCCTCATTGTTCTTTGATCATTCTGTTCTGTTCTTGGTTTTTGACTGCATTCTCAAATCTGTTGCAGTCTGTGGAGAAGTGAATTGAGTGCGTACCTTCTCCGATAACTCTCATTTCCATTCCCTGGTCTTTAGCTGGCACAAAATAATAACACAAGCGACAAAAACGTCAGCAACAAACACATTCACTCATGAGGTAGTCATATTTTTCAATGAGACTGAGTCTAACTAAGTGTTAACATGAAATAAACAAGCTTGTTATAATTATAGATACCTGTCTATTTCTTATTCACTGGACTTATAAGTCAATTTGATTTATAAACACGCGGCATATCTGTTCTTAGAACTGTTTTATACGTAGCTTTATAACATGAAACTGAACAGAAACAAAAATGAAAGAAAGGGGAATAACACTACACAGAATGGCGAAAGATTAGTTAAAATTGTTAAAAGTTACCTTTAACATTTTGATTTCGGCCGAATTTTGCTATCAGATAATCCCAGAACGGTCGGAGTTTGGCATTGATGACACCTCGAACCTTAATACATCGAAAAAAAAAACAAAAAACACACAGTTGTAATCAGTACACATTGCTTTCTCCCCACTCCCCATATTAAACCTTCGAGTCTTTGATTTCCCCTCGAATGCGAATGAATATAGAAATGGCAAAATTAAACTTAATCGCCGAAGATATATTTTTCAACCGTTCAAATAATGACCTCGTGTACCTGTGGGGTAGAAAAGGTGTAGAGAATGGGATTGATGGCAGAGTTAACCGGCAGAACAAAGACTGCGATCCAAACTGCCAGGTCACCACGTACACGGAAGGACTTTTCCAGGAGAGACCTCACTCCAATCACCACGATAGGCATGCAG